TCCATCCCTCCCTCCCCCCATCCTTCTTCCATCCCTCCCTCCCTCCATCCTTCTTCCATCCATCCCTCCATCCTTTTTCCATCCACCCATCCTTCTTCCATCCCTCCACCCATCCTTCTTCCATCCTGCTTCCACCCTAGCCCTCCATCCCTGATCTGGCATTCACCGTTTCCACGATGTGGATGGACTCACTGCAGATGTTAGCCACAAGGACAGTGTTGCAATTCCCACCTAGGAAGCAAGGAAAAGAGGGAAGGAAGAGAGGAGGCCCGTAACGTCTCCTGCCTCCCTGCTCTGGTGGTCCAGGGGGGATGTAACTGGGGAAAGACGGTCCTCCACATGACAGGGAGGGAGCCACCACGGAGAAGGCCCTTCCTCTGAGTCCCATCAGATGGATCTCAAGAGGGGATTCGTAACGTCTCCTTCCTCCATGCTCGGCTGGGTAGGTGTAACTGGGAAAAAGAGGGTCTTCTGCACAACCTGCCTCCTCCCCCAAGTGGGGCTCCTTCCCCAAGGGGCCCCTCCCCCAAGTGGGACAACCAGCACCTTAAACTGAAGCAAAAGGGCAGCTCCCGCAGGAGAGGAGACCCGGGTTCAAACCTAGACTTGCACAAAACCGTGCAGGCCTCTGAATTTTGAGCCGGCTGAGTCCCCGGATACTTTTCAAGGGCAGCCCTTTGTGGAGGGCAGCCAGGCCTTGTTACGGCCCTGGAAGGGATGAACCCTAAATCCCTACCCAAGGAATCCTTCAAAGTGTACGTCAGCTTGCTCTGCCGAAAGGGGACGTGGTCCCGGCTGCAGTCCGACAGGGCGATGACCACCTGCTCCAGGAAGGACAGCGATTTGTTGATGTAAGTCGCTTCCTTCAGCCCAAATCCTTCCGACTGTCCAGAAAGAAAACCTTGGTCAGTGGACCCGAAAGAGTCCAGGGGGGTCCCTCGGCACAGGGGGCTTTCGCCTGATTTTTACCACCGGTTTGCTGTGCACAAAAATGTGAGCAAAAACTGCTTGCGCGACTTCTGTGCAGGGCTGGACTGCTGCCGGCGTTACGCGAAAGATTTTGCCCCTTAAAAGGTCTGCGCATGTGCACCATGTTAGAAAGGGGGGGGGGGCAGAGGTGGGTTTCCTACCAGTTCGCACCTATTCGGTAGAACCGGTTCGTCAAATCTACCGAACCGGTTAGAAGAGGTTCCACCAGTGGACCCGGAAAGCAGG